GGCGTGCTGGTTCAAGAAGGTCATCCTGTGACCTTTGAAAGCAGGAAGTTGAATGAAGCGGAGTAGAGATATTCGGCTCATGAAAATGAGATGGTTGCTGTTATTCATTGCTTGCAAATCTGGCGTGTTTACTTGCTGGGAACAAAATTCGTCGTGAGGACGGACAATGTGGCTAATACTTTTTTCAAGACACAGAAAAAGTTGAGTCCAAACCAAGCACGTTGGCAGGAATTTTTAGCAGAATATGATTTTGTGTGGGAGCATAAGCCGGGAAAGCACAACCAGGTTGCGGATGCATTGAGTCGGAAGGAAGTCTTTGCTGCTGTTTATTCCATTACACGAATTGAGTCAGATTTTCTTGATAAGATCAAGTCAGCTGCTGTGAATGATCCATTGTACATAAAAACAATGAATCATGTGAAAGAAGGTACTGTGATGAGCTACTGGATCGAGGACGATCTTCTCTATTTCAAAGGGGGGAGAATTGTTGTACCACTTGGTAACGGACTGCGTCGTGAATTACTGAAGGAGACGCACGATACACTTTGGGCTGGTCATCCAGGCATTGAGAGGATGCTGTCGCTGTTGTTGCGATATTATTTCGGGCCAAAGATGGAACAAGATGTGGAAGCTTATGTGAAAAGCTGTCTTGTGTGTCAGCTTGATAAAACTGAACGGAAGAAAGAGGCAGGTTTGTTGTAACCTCTGCCGATTCCTGAAGAAACATGGCAATCCGTTTCAATGGATTTTATCAGCAGGTTCCCTAAAGTCAATGGGTTGTCTTCGATTATGGTAGTGGTCGGCAGGTTTTCAAAATATGCTGTTTTTATTGTTGCCCCAACAGAATGTCCCTCTAAAGTTGCCGCGGAGTTATTCTTCAAAAATGTGCTGAAGTATTTTGGGATGTCAGAGGATGTTATTAGTGATAGGGATGCATGGTTCACAGGCGGATTCTGGACTTACTTGTTCAATTTGATGGGGACAAACTTGAAGTTCTCAACGACAAACCATCCCCAAACTGATGGCCAAACCGAAAGAATCAATCATCTGCTAGAAGAGTACTTGGACATTTTGTGACTGCGAGTCAACGGAATTGGACTGATTTGTTAGATTGTGCACAATTCTCTTACAATTTGCACAAGTCTTCAGCCACGGAGAAGAGTCCATTCGAGATCGTTTTGGGAAAGCAGCCAAGGCTACCAACGAAGATGGTGCAACAGAAGACTGGTGGGAAATTTCCAGCTGCATACCGTTATGGGTTTGATAGACAAATTATGATGGATGAAGCAGCAGACAGTTTGAAAGTGGCCCAGAAACGCATGAAAAAAATATGCTGATCGGAACAGGCGTCCATTGGAGTTCAAAGTGGGCGACAAAGTGTTGTTGAAGCTTACTCCTCAAATCTGGAAAAAGATTGATAGCAGATTAAGGCATAGAGCATTGGTTTCAAGATATGATGGTCCATTTGAAGTTATTGAAAAGGTGGGTGAAGTTGCTTACCGTTTGAAGCTACCGGAAAGAATGAAAATACACCCAACTTTCCATGTGAGTTATTTGAGGCCTTATGTGGAAGATCCTGAAGATCCGGACATGCATAAAATCAATAATGCTCCTCCTGAAGTGTGCACTCAAATTGAGGACGAGATTGAAAACATTCTAGACCACCGGGTACTTGGGATGCACAAAAAGAATAGGCGGACATAAATTTTAATTAAATGGAAAGGCAAGCCCGAGGTAGATGCAACTTGGGAGAAGGGTAATTCGTTATGGCAATTCGAAGATCAAATCGAGGACTACTTGAAATCAGCCTCGACGAGGGCATCGAGTTCAACCAGTGGGGGTGGTTTGTTAGCCCCTAACAATGAGACTTGACGAATGTCGGGCAGAATCCATGTTAAGGGCTTGTACATTGCCCCTTGGCATGGGTTTGTGGAAGTGTTGGCAAGCAATGTGCAAAGCTGGGTGTGTGTCTAAGTTAGTAATGGACTTAGACAAGTCAGCTAGGCAAGGGGCCTTGAGTGTTGGCAAGGCAGCCTTGGTTCGTGGGTATCGGCAATGGCAATGAAGGCGCATGGCACTTGACAAAGGCATGTGCGTGGATCAGTGGGACGACTATGTTTGTGGCAAGACGTGGTCATGAGCTTATGGGCGAGGCATGGTCCGAAACAAGACAAGGCAGGAAGACTAAGTATGGCAAAAGCTGGAAAACAAGTGTGCAAGGCATGTGACGGAAGAGGTGTGCTATGCATGTGCTTTGAGAGTTAAAGGCATGTGCAAAGCACATGTGCAGTAGACTCAAATGCTGAAGACAAGTCCAATTTCGTGGGAAGGGTTTGAATTCAAATTCAAACAGATTGGTTATGCTTGTTTGTAGGTCTGTCATGTGCATGGCACATTGTTTAACTGCCTCTAACTACCCCTTTGTAAAACTGCCATAGGCAGCCCCCTTTTATATGTGTATTTCGTTTGGGATTAAGGTAGTAGCATATGTGAGCATTTCCTAACTGAGTCCTTTTTGTATTCTGCGAGAATAATAAAGGTTGGGTGATTTTATTCGTAACTGTGTGTTGTTAAGTTTGGCTAAGTCTGAATAATTTTAAGTGTCAGGCTGTGTGCGAAAAAGTGAGGCTGAGTGGCTGTGTGTTTAGCTACTGCCGTGCAGTGTCAATAATGCGAAAATTGGCCCTATAACACCTGCCATGTTGTGCCAGACGTTGAGTGCGCAGGTGATGAGGTACATGTCTAGAGGCAGGTTTGCTAGACTTACAGGCTCCGTTGATATATTTCAGCGATAGCAATCTTTTTCATACTTTTCCTTCTTCAGATATTATTATGTATACTACGGAAATGCCCCGTAAACTTATATATTCAGACTTTCAGTAGATGCTCATGATTTTGCTAGTGAATCTTAGACTACAGACTTGTTAATGTTGAACTAATGCTCAATTTTTTGACTTATATTATTTAATTATCTTATTATAAATTTTGAGAATTTTATGTTTAGTTCAATCCTTCAGTTATTTAGAACAGGACTCGCTCGATTGGTTAGGATGCTCTAGCGCCATCACGTCCCACCCCAATTTCAGTGGCATTTATCCCTTGCTTTTTGTTATCTTAAAATATCTAACTTTTCATATCCTATACGATATCTGCTCTATTTGTCAACCTTTGCTTAATTTGTCAAGCCACAGATTCGGACTAACAACTCAAAGCAAGACACACAAAAAAGAAGAAGTCATAATTAACAAATCATAGAGTATAATATATAAATTAATTGCTTCGTCCCAAAACGAATGACCAAATTCAAAGTATGATAGGTTTTTGGATTCGGACACAATTTATTTTTATAATTTGCATAATTAAAAATGAGAAAAAGTACTAAAAATCAATATATTTTATATTTTACTCAATCTATTTATACAATAAAAATCATATAAGAATGTTTAAAAATATTATGATTAAAAGAAAAAACTATTTTGACTTTCTAAATAATAATGGCAATACAAAATGGGACTAAGAGAATATCTTTTTCCATGATAACCATATATACCTTTTGATGATTAGAGTAGCATTTTTGAATTTCCATAAAATACTAATAATTCTTGGATGTAAAGGCAGCAGGTGAAGCATCCCTATTATTGGTCACTAATTCTATAAACAAAGAGTTCTAATTTAGGCATGAAATGTGTACGGCCCTAAAGTTTCATTAGTAGTCTAACTAATCCTTTTCTGTCGCTATTCCTTTTAAATATGATTATGTTTGTTTGACTTTGGGTTAGGATTTTCATATACTAAGAAATTTAGATCACCTAATTTTTTCCTGTTGCAATCAAAATAGTCTTCCACCGTAAGTCCATAACAATCCAGAACACCATGGAATCTTGAAAAGGTACAACACAATTTTATTTCCAAGTGGAAAATGTAAAACAAACCAAATATGAATAGCTACCAAAGTTGGTCTTGTTTTCTGTTACATAAAATGCCATCTAATACCCTGTGAGCAGTTGTAACAATGTCTAAATGGATGCATGAATCTCACAACACATCCATTGCTCATTTTGTCTTTCTTACCAAATGTCTTCCTTCTTGAAGGTCCCACAAAAATTACTCAAATAATTTCATTTTATTCTAAATTTTTTTAGTAAGGCAAGATGGTGTACAAATTACTAGGGGTGTTCAAATCGAATCGGACAACCGCACCAAACCGAAAAACCAAACCAAATCGATTAAAAAGTCCGACTAGGTATGGTATTGAGTAAAAAAATCCGAACCAAACTGATATATAAATATATAATTTTTTATATATATTTTTAAGACTTTATATTGAATTTTCTTTTAAAAAGATGTAGAAATATTTGGGATCCTTTCATGTGTTAACCTTGAAAGTGTACATTGACGGAAATTATTGATAGACGATTAAGAAAATAACTATCATGTGTTCCTAACAAAATTCTCCTATTGGAATATTTTAATAGATCATATATTTTTCAATTTTTCAATATTTACTAAACATATATTCACTTATCAAAACTTTATCTATAACTTTAACAAAGTAAGATTCGAATAATATTCATGTAACAAAAAAAACCCGAAAATCCCAAAAATCCGACAAAACCGAACCAATCCAAACTGATATAGTTGATTTGGTTTGGTTTTGCTAAAAACCGAGCCAACCCGGTCCATGTACACCCCTACAAATTACAATGGACTCATTATGGTATGACATTCTAGCAAACCTAATGCATAGCGAGAGTTTCGTATACCAAACGCCCTTTTAATCTTTTTTGTACGATCAATTCTAATTTGTCAAATTGATTTTTCACGTAAAAGATATTTACAGATCGTATCTCAACTTGTAGGAATATATTAGGTTGTTGTTGTATCTCAACTATTTTTTTTTCAGTAAGAGATATGCTGTGGGTACATGTTCAAAACCCCAATCATCTTTCATTATTTACCACAGTCTAAAATTCTCAGTCAGAGAAGGCTGCTTGCTTAGGTTGAAGATTAACCAAGATTTCTCAATCCAAGAAGATAACAAGATCAAAGAAAGTAGTGGAGTTCAGCTTCTACTTTTATCATTTTACTCTAGTTATTTCTTTTGTCTATCTATACATCTCTATGAAAAGTAATTAAAGGTTAACTGGAGAGAGTAGGGAAGGAGAAAATAAAATAAAAAACATAAATATTGAAGGGAAATAGATAAAGAAAGATTATATAAGCTTAGATAGCTAACTAAAATTAAGTACTACTTTTTTTTCCATCTTATTCTTGTCGAGGGCGCGCAAGCCAGAGAGAGCTGAGAGCTCGAAGCCGATGAAAATATTCAGCGATTGCCAGAAAACACCTAGCGGCTTGACGAGTTGTGAGCAATTGATGCAGCCGATGAATTGTTTGGTGCCTCAAATTATCTGCCTGTAAGTGAAAAATAAACATTCATTTATTCTCCAATGTTTTTAATTTAAATTTTTTCAAGAATTAGTTTATTCAAGATAATTGTAGGTGAAATTAAATAAGCAAATAAGTAAGAAGTCATGCGTATACGTTTGACTTTTGAGGGGATTACTTTATTCTTTTATTTAAGAGTTTAATATTGTCAAGGAGTTCAGAAATATGTGGCAATCCTATAATCTTCTGACTTTGGTAGTGATTGATTTGATTGTCAAATGGACTATAAACATACTTTAATATTTCATAATTTAAGATTTATAAAACTCCACC